AACTGTTCCCAAAGTTCTTGTGCAGATGTAATGTATAAAAAAGCATCAACGATTTCTCTTGAAATAGAATTCAAAATCCATAACTGTACCATGCAATCAATCTTTAATCCATTGTTCAAACTCATCTAAATCTTCATCCTTTGGTTTCTTATATTTTTCATTCACAAAACCCAGTTTCTGCTTAGCTCCTAAAGCTATTTTCATAGCTCTGCTCCGTGTCAAGTAATTATCTCCATTAAGAGGTGTGGTAACCAGAATCATAAATGGGTTATCTGATGACTGTAATTGTAAATAATTTGCTACTTCTACAAATTTGGTTCCTTATCCAAAATTCTTAAGTCGCAGATCTGCATCTCTGCAGTATTTCCGTTGGATATTGATCTTGAACCTCCAGTATCCATTATCTCTCAATCTAACTCTCAAATCATGTCCTCGATGGATCATGATACTCTGATACCATGAGCATAATTAAAACCGGAAAAATGGAGAGAAAGATGATTTCATAAAATATTCTCATATCTGAAATACAGTTGAAGTATGCTTCTTATATAGAGAGAGAAGCTGCTGCTGAAGTCATGCACAAAGAGCCAAAAAAGTTGTAACAAAAAAAAAAAAAAAAAAAAAAAAAAAAAAAAACCAAACAAATAACAACCTAAAACAAACTAGCTAAATACGCACCATTTTAAAAACATAAAGAAATGATGCATCAAATAAAGGAAAAAAAAACGACACATAAACATTCTTCAATAATTATTTTTCAGCTATTTCCTTTCACCAGGACAATGCTTTCTGCAGAAGACAAAAAATTAATTAATTCTTCCATCATAGGAAACTACTAATCCTCTATTTCTCAATGTAAATTTTTGTAAATACAATATTAATGATGTAAATATTTGCAAACTATGGATCAATTATATAATTATATTCATCTATAAATTCTATTAATTCGTAATCTGATAAGCCCCAAAGGACCAATAGAATACCCAGAAGGAGAGCATGTGCAGAAGAGGAATGAATAAAAGAAAACCTGCAGCCAAAGAAGGAAACTGTGAGGAAAAGGGAACCGAGCAAATCTACTAGCCGTTGCCAAGACTTTAGTCCAAGCTTTATCCTTTATGCTTTAATCTCCAAAAACTGCTTCCTAGTTAGTCAGGAGTAGCAATTGAGCTTTTTTTTTTTATATTTAAGTTCCTAATCAACATCAATAAAATCATCTTGGAATTGCAAAAAAAATCTATAATTTCTTCTCATTCAAAAGAGAAAACCTTATCTAAATTTATAGGCTTCTTACTAGGACCTATCAATTGGTATAAAAGCCATGGTTACCGAGGAAGAAAAAATAGAAAAACTAGAAATCAGTCTAGAAGGGATACAGAACCGTTTTAGCCAAATGGAAAAACTAGACCCTATCAATTGAACAACTAGAAATTATTTGGTATCACCTAAAAGAGAAAATCTTATCTAAATTTATAGGCTTCTGACTGGTCCTATCAATTGGTATCAAAGACATGGTTACCGAAGAAAAAAGAACATAAAAACTAGAAATCAATCTGGAAGGCATACAGAACCGTTTGAGCCGAATAGAAATCGGGTTCACCGAGAAGTTCAATCAGATCGAAGATATCCTCCAGCGGCTTATAGATGCTTTGATGATGAACAGAGAAGGCTCCAGCAACAATATTACAGACCGACCTGGCCAAACGTGAACCTACTGCAATGAGCCGAAACCACCCATGCAAATGATGACCTACACAATACTATTACTGTCAGTTGAATTGTAGAACATACTTACCGAAAATATTCATAATGATTATGATAATGGCACCGCCAAAGAAGAAAGAGGTTCAAATTGTACACTTGATTTCCGCTGTAGAGAGCTTGAAAAGATGTTCCCCTTCTATTCCAACAATATAAACTTCGCTTGTGTCCTGTTCGAGTTAAACTGTAGTGGGTTAGTTTAGATGATACAGATAGTGGAGGAAGGAAGACAGTATGACATCGAAAGGGATACAAAAAAGGGACGACCGCGACGACCATCATCAACTGCGTGCAGCAGTACCTTCTTCGTTGTGGTTGTCTTATTTGCCGTCTTCATGCTCCCGTGATACTTAAAAAAACAAAAGGAAAAGGTGGAAACATAAGAGAAAGAAGGCGATATGCGGGAGATATACTGCTGCTGGTGTTGTTGGAAAATTCTACTGAACATATTCTAAGTTGTGTTTGTGGGAGATAGAGTGAAATCTGCCATGAGTTGGAAAAAAAACAATTTATTGGGTTGGAGAATGGTGATGATGGAGAGCAGTAAAAAAAAATATATTGGGTTGGAGAATGGTGATGACGGAGAGTAGCAAAAAAAATATGTGTCGAGTTGGAGAATGGCGATGCTGGAGAGCAGCAGAAAAAAATATATGTATATTGGGTTAGAAACTGATGATGATGGAGAGCAGAAGAAAAAAAAAATTACAAAATGCTGAACAAAAATAATACTGTCGAAGAGTAGAGGGTGGATGGTCTTTGACAAGGATTCTCAAGTTTGGTGATGATGTGACATTTTTATTTTTATTTTTTATTTTTTTCTGCATGGATGGATGGAGAGTTTATGCTCTTGTTGTCATGTCTTCCAAGGGTGTCTCAGAATATGTGATAGGCTAAACGAACCTGATTAAAAAAAGAACAAAAAAAAAACAAAAAAACAAAAAAAACAAAACAAAACAAAAGTTTAAGTGTAAACAGTACGCAGAGGAGTCGTGCTCAAGAAGAAGACCATCTATTACTGACATGGAATGGACACTCCCCTTTTGTAAACTCTCTCTGTTTCTCTCTTTCTCTTTCTCTTTCTCTCTCTCTCTCTCTCTATATATATATATATATATATCTATATATATATGTAAATTATTGGTGTCACTTAAGTTGAACAAGCACTGCAACCCATCCAATTATGTAGTGATAAAAAGTTGTGATTGAAAGACAAAGAAGCTACAATACTTCGCTAACTTCGTGATTCATTACAAAGATATCTGGAGTCAATTGAAAAGGTTTCCAGGTCTAAACCTTGAGGATAAGGTTCAAGTGAAAGAGGAGGATACTGATAAGCCCCAAAGGACTAGTAGAATATCCCGAAGGAGAGCACGTCCAGAATAGGAATGAATAAAAGACGAAGTGCAACTAAAGAAGAAAAACGTGAGGAAAAGGGAACCGAGCAAATGTGCTAGTCATTGCCAATACTTAGTCTAAACTTTATCCTTTATGCTTTAATTTCCAGAAACCGCTTCCTAGTTAATCGGAGCAGTAATTGAGTTTTTTTGGTATTTGAGTTCCAGATCAACATCAATAAAATCATCTTAAAATTGCAAAAAAATTTATGCTTTATTCTCACTAAAAAGAGAAAATCTTATCAAAAAGCAGATTATCAGTTTTTCCTCGTCCGTCGAGGTAAATTCCTCTTTCACGCATTTTTTGGGATCTTCCTTTTTGATTTGCGACGTTTTTCTTCTTCAGTTTCTCTTTTTGTTTATGGTTCTGACAAAATCGATCTTTGCGTTGTTGTTTTCATTTCAAAATGATTAACTAGATACACAGGGATACAAAACCACTTTCCATTTCTTCAACGGCTGGAATTTATAATTATTTAAAATTAGTACTCCACACCATCTGTCATGTCTAAGCTTCTTGCCTCCTAGACCCTGAGCAGGCTACTCAGTAGCCTCTTCGAGCCATGTAGCAGGCTATAAACCAGACTGAAGACTTCATAAACTTGTACAATGAAAAGCGACGTGCACCGGCTTGTTGGGACAATCTCTTCATGGTACAAAATTAAATTTCATGCAGGTCTGGTTAACTTGTTTACTAAACTCCTCTCTCTTTCCCTCTCCGGCGAGCTCCTTCTCTCTCTCTCTCTCTCTCTCTCTCTCTCTCTCTCTCTCCCCCTGTTCTCCAAGAAACTCTTGCCTGTAAATACATTTGGTTCTTTAGTTTAATGACGATGGGCTGGTGGAGGATTAATTGGGCGGCTTAGACATTTTTAATGGGTTTGGATTAAATAAAAAAGCTCCGCCTTTTAATTTCATTTTCGACTTGGTAAAAAAAAAAAAAGAAAAGAAAAGCTGGGTTTATAATTATATACATATATATATTATTAAATTTATATTACACTTATAATTATATCAATTATCAAAAATCATCCTAGCAATAAACCATAAAAATCAATAAGCATGACTTTTTAAATTTTAAGAAGCACAATAAATTATATATTATATTTAAATTTGATCTATCAATTAAAAGTTAAATTAAATATTTTAATTTTGTTGCAATGAATTTTCACCAAAGGAAAAAAAAAATCAATAATAATAGTATTGCTGCATAATACGAAAAAGAGTATGCTCTCTTAAATAGTTTTTTTACCAGGACTTATATGACTTATTTTTCTTGTAAAAGTAATATCTAATTTAACAAGATATTTAAAAATAAAATTTTTCTATTGTCTCATTTGGACTATTAAAATTATGATGAATTTAAATAGTACTCACATGTTTGGGTATGTGAATCCACAATGTAATCGAAATAAAGGAAAATTATAATATTATCTACATGATCTTTCTTTCTCTACTAAATTGGAAGAATAATATGAACATAACAAGGCAACTCTTACGTTGTAATATCTAAATTAATTTAATTGTAATTTAAATTAATTTATAAATATAATTTTTAAATTTTTTAAATTTTAATTTAATATAAAAATGAAGAAAAATAGGAATGAGATGAAATTGAAAATAATTTTGGGAAAAATTGATGAAAATTTAGATTCTGAGAGTATTTTTTTTAAAAAAATCAGAAACTGGGGATCAAAATATAATTTAGGAAAGTGTGCCCCGTAGGATGCCCAGTCAGCAGCCCAACCAACTAGAACGTGCCGCGTAGCAATAAACGATGACGCGGTGCCACGTGGGAGGCTACGCGAGCGATCCGCGTGCCCGCGATCAGATGACCCAGATTCATTCCTGCACGCATGGACGACCCAAATATGTTCCCTCCCCAAATCGATTTATTTTATAGTTTGAATGCATGATAGTATCTGATTGATTGATTTTATAGTTTTGAATGCATGTATTGCTGTCTTATGTGACTACTGGTAAATTGAAAAATCGAGATGTGATTGCATTCCTTTATGCATGTTTGTTTGTTTATGTAATTACGATTGAATTAAGAAACTAGAGATTAAAGGTAAATGGTAACTATGTGATTAAGTGAATGGATGAAACGACAGCCTTACTGGATATCCGGGGAGATGGGGGACGAACTGGGTGCATAGGAAACCCTGCCATAGACGTTGCCTCATACCGAACGGGGTATCGAGACTTAGTAATTTGGTGCTCATACCGGACAGGGTATGGGGATGACTCGTTTCACCCTTATACCGGAAGGGGTTTGAGGCTTAGTAATTTAGTGCTTATACTGGACGGAGTATGAGAACGACCCGTTAATTGAAAATGTTAAAGGAAATGGTTCACACGTTGTTGTAACATCCCTATGAACACCCATGGATACAAGTAGACTGATAAAAAGTGTAAGTTGTTATTCTGATTAATTGAATATGAGATCATGATATGTGTTATGTTATTGATTCTACAGGTTATTTTTGTAAAATTCGCTACAATAAGTAGACGGTAAACGATTTTGTTTATGATAAATGAATTTACTTAATTAAGAGCTCAATTAGTTGTTTTGGTTTTTCTACCAACTTTCATTTCTGTATCGGTGAGTAGCGTGATATTCTTACTGAGTTAGTGTACCTCATTCCTTTATTAACAATTTTATATTAAGGGGACCAGGATCCAGAACCCGATCCACAAGAGAGTTGCAAATAGGATGTCAGTTTATTTATTTTCTGTTTATTTCCTTTAAGTTTTTTATATTTCCTTCAAAGGGTAATTCCCATAGCACTATTTAGGACTTTAAGTTATTGTATAAGGAATATAAACCTTAGCTGATTATTTTGCTTCCGCACTTAATTTATGATTTATTTCTTTTGAAATTTCAAAGTCGTTACAGTTGGTATCAGAGTCGCGTTCCTCAGATCCATTCCTTACACAAAATCCTTAGGAAACACAAAAAATAATGAATTATCATTCAACCGTTCATTGTGAAATACAGGTACAGATAGATGACGAGAAGAAAGGCCCCCACTAAACCGAGTAGCCCGGGAGGGTTCACTACGAGAGGATGTTGACCGATTATTTGAGATGCTGAAGAGACTCATTGTTGCCCAGTAGGCCCGGAAGGAAAGGAGGGAGCTACCTGACCCTCTTCTGCTGCCATAGGTTAAGCTACCTCTGCAGCGAGAGGATCCCGAACCACCCTAGTACGACCCTGCTCATCCACAGTACCATCCGGCACCACCACAGTATGGCCTAGTGCCCTAACCACATCACCTGACACCACCACAGTACAATCTGGTACCTTCATCGTATCATCTAGTACCACCGCAGGGCCATCCAGTACATCCTTAGCACAATCCAGTTCCTCTTCCACGGGACCCAGCTTCTTCCATGATGGACCCAGGCTATATCGAGAGGTATAAAAGATTAAATCCATATATTTTTGCAGGGGGGTCCTCCTTTGAAGAGGCCGAATACTGGTTAGCTAAGACAAAGAATGCCTTTATGATGCTTGGAGTAACTCCCGAACAAAAAGTCATGATTGCCACCTATATACTGGTGGGAGAAGCATGCAGCGGGTGGCAACTCAAGCAGGCCACCCTGCCTGTTCCAGTCACTTGGAAACAGTTCCTGACTGCCTTTTATGCAGAGTACCTTGTAGAGCATCTCCGACATCTGAAGGAGATGGAGTTTGCACACTTAGTCTAGGGGGACATGACTATATCAGAATATGCTCGCAAGTTCCTAAAGTTGGGCTGGTATTCCCTTGAAAGCATGACGGATGAAGGTAGGAGGGGTAGAAGGTTCGAGTAGGGTCTCCATCCTGAGATCAGATAACAGTTGTATGTACTCGAGCTCAGAACTTATTCGGCTATTATGGTCAAGACACAGTTAGTGGAGAGGAACCTTCGCACCCTCCCTCCAACAGTAGGGAACCTCAGACCCTTGGCTCCACACCGCAGACCAGCACATACTGTACCTGTTCAACAGAATAAGAGACCCAGGTCAATGACTCAAGCTCCTCCTCAGGTTCTAGTAGCATGGCGTGGTAAGACCTGTCAGCATTATGGCAAGGATCATGAGGACCGACCCTGTTATCGCCTCAACAACACCTACCACATATGTGGTAGCGCCCAACATTATGCAAGGGAGTGCCCAAGGAACTAGAAGCAGGCCAGACCTCTTATCTAGGACAGAACTTATAACCTCACTTAGCAGGATGCAGAAGCTGACCCGGACATGATACATGGTACGTACACTATCTGTAACCATCCTGCCCATATTTTAATTGATACTGGTGCATTGCATTCATTTGTTTCACATGTTTTTGCATCAAATTAAATGT